CTCAAGTATTTTGGACTAAGCTTAAATTATTGGAAACTTCGTGAAAATTAACGACTAATGATCGATATAATTTATAATAAAACACGTCAAAATAATTTTCATATCCTTATGTGTATCACATTTTATTTATCATAACTAATGGTCCTTGAGGCGATGACTCGCTGTCTAAGATAGACATTGAAGTCCTGAGGATCTCCTTCTCTTTTTGGCGATTCCCAAGCTGCATTGCCTCCTTGGATGGATTCAATTAGTTGGTCGGTTTGGGAATGACTACTCTGAGTTGCTATTGGTCCGATCTGAGTTATAATTGTTGGTATCATTAAAATTAAAAGAAAAATAACAAATACCAGACCATTCCATTAGCTTAAACTTTGGGGGGGTCACCAAGTGGTGTTAATCGTGTCACGTCATTTTTGTGTCGTATCACTTTTGATCATATTAATTTTATATCGTGTCACTTTGAGTATTTGTCGGGTTCAAGTCAATAAAATAATATTTAATTTCACAACAACTTATATAATATTATTTAAAAAATTAAAAAATTTTATAAATTTTTTATTTTTTGTCTATACTACTCGTTAAATATTAGTTTTCTATTTACAATACCAGTAAATCATGTTATTCGTATTGAACCTTAATTTGACTTATTTATTACTCGTATCAACTAGTCATATTATTTTTGAATTTTGTGTCAGGTCGAGTTCGAGTTAATGGGTAAATTTGACAACCCTCATAACCCCCCTCAATTTTTCAAAATTATCAAATACCCCCCTTTAATGTTTTAAAAAATCTTATGCCTCCCCTTGAAAAATCCTATACCCCTTTGAATCTTTTCACACATGTACTTCTTGTAATATATTAAAAAAAAAAAACTTAAAGGACATACAATTAAAAACCAATTAACAGATAGATGCGGTCTTAAAGATGAGAATTGCTCTTATAGGGGTTTTATTCGCTTGTTCCTGCAAATTACTATAATTTAACACGAAAAGTTTACAAAGAGAGAGGTATCTACTGTTGCTTAGGGGCTCCAACTTCTCCTTCTTTATTCATTAATCCTTATTCGTTAATCCTACCTGTGAAACATGATGTCAGCTTTATTCTTTTATTTTTTAAAACTATCTCAATTTTTTACTTAAATTTGAGTCAGCAATTGAGTAAAAAATTTGATTGTAGTAACAATTTTTACTTTAACCTTTTCAGAAAATTTTTGTCATCTATTTTTAATCAAATTTAAATTTGAATAAGAATTTAAGTAATTAGTATGGAAGTAATGATTCATAGTTGTTTCTCATTTTACACCTTGGAAAAAATAATAAATTTTTTTTGTTGACTTCTATTCTTAAAATATGTTTACTTCCTTATATTCTATCAATTTGCATGTAACTCCCCGAGATTTTGGCTCAAATTAAAATCATTACAAATTGTGTAAAAAGTTACGATCAAAGGTCAAAAGTCGATATTTTCAACAAATTAACATGTTAAAATATTTTTGTACTTCTATACATAATAAATTTTTACACTTATATACTTCTCTTCCACACCTGTTTGGTTTCTAGGCTTTGAATGGATTTTTCAAGAAATACAAAATTTGCAAGAAGAAAAACTCTGAAATTTTAAAACAAAAAGTGAAAAGCTACCAACTAAAAAGATAAAAGTGTAATTGCCTAAACAATTTATCCTGTCTTTGTCTAGGGAACCCAAAACAGAGAGAGAGAGAGAGAGGCCTGTATGTATATATGGTGCATTGCTTCTCATCTTTCCCAATATAACCATCAATATATTTCTCGTTAAACTTACTTGAAATGGAGAGCTCGGCAACAGAATTCAGCACTGTACTCCGCCACTCCAAAGCTTACAAATTTGCCTCAGAAGACACAGCAGAATCATTGGAATTCTTCTGTAATTTCTGGAGAGATGAAGGCGCAGTACCAATTGACCAACGCGGCGACACAGTCCTCCACCTTCTGGCCATCAAAGGGAATGTGGCTGCCTTGGGAAATCTACTTCGGGCAGATCACCTCCTCGACGAAATGCTCCTGATAAAGAATGCCAGCGGCAACACTGCGCTGCATGAAGCTGCGAGGTCTGGTCAGAAGGTTGTGGCGGAGATCATGGTCACAAAGAAGCCAGATTTAGTTTTCCAGCGGAATGATTTGAACGAGACGCCTCTTTACCTTGCTGCTGCGTTTGGAAAGAGTGAAGTTTTCACACTTCTGGAAAGCTACAATAGCGATTGCAGGATAAGGAGGCACGATGGATCCACAATTCTTCATGCTGCCATTGAGGGAGAACGTTACAGTTAAGTTTTCAATTCCATTCATTAGTTAATATTCATTCGAATGCTGGTCAAACTAACCACAAATTTTGATGGAATTCTCTTTTATTTCCTCCATTAAAAAGCTTAAATTACCCACTCTCCACAAGTACAACATTGCATTAGGGGCGAAGAGAATCATTTATCAATTACATTTGTATTAGTTTTGCAGGATATTATGTTGGTTTGGTTCCCTTTTTAAGTTTAGTTTCTTCGGAATAGGGTCACCCTATGCATATGTAATTGGGTAAATATTATAATTAGTCCTTAAACTTTGTCTTTTACTTTAAAATAGTTCTTGAACCTTTAACTATCTAGTTCACGGACTAGTAATTTCATATCAATTGAATCTTTTCATCAATTCTATCAATTCCAGCCGTTAGAATAGACGAAGGCAAGTCAAGTGTTTGTCCTATAACCGTCCATGCAATTTGTTCTAATAGATAAAATTGACGGAATGACTTAATTTGCACGAAATCGATAATCGGAGGCCTACATTAAAAAAGTTCAAAGATCATTTTAAAATAAGAGAAAAAAATTTAAGGACTAATTACGATATTTACCCTATATAATTAGGTAATTCTTTATGCACCAAAATTTGTACCAAATCAACTCCAACCATTGAATCAATCATGTGACTCACTAATCCAACAGTTACAAGTGATTTGGTGCACATAGAATTGTTCTATATAATTTTGTATTCCTCTCTTGATTCTTCCACGTACTTTTAAATTTGTTGTCCTTGATGGGCTATGTAGAACATCTCTAATCCTTACCTCTTTTTTTTTTAAATTCAAATTTAAATTTGGGTTAAAAACTTCTAAAAACCTTCTCTACTGTTAGATTCATATTTATATCAAATTATGGGAGACACATTCTTTTATTCAAATTAAGGAATAGTCAAATCAATACGCAATTTTTTAATTGTGAGATTTTACCTCCTTTAAAGATTTAATAGTCATATTTTACACTCTTTTAAATTTTAATATGTCCTTATTTAAATTTAAGTTTTTTTTCCTTTAAATTCGAGTTTTTCATTGAAGAGCTATATACCAAATCAAGTTTTTTCCCTTTTTTGTTATACTCAAATTTGAAGAAGGAGATGGTGTCGATCGGGCTTAAATACAACAGCCAATCAAATTGGGCCAAATAACTTGGAAACCTTCACGTGGCGGTCTGGGCTGGGCGATTGAGCTTTTGGGTCAGCCCATACGTTACAGGACATAATGTTGAGTCTTATTTCCACAATACGGCAGAGATAATATGAAAATTAGAAGTGCAGATATTAGGACAAAATTCGTTGCTAGGTTCTTTTGGACAACTAATAAAGTAGTGACGTGTAACAGACTAGGCTTCTCATGTGATAATTAAGAGTAATAACAGTGGCACCATTTGATAACGATGTAATGTTTTCGTAAATACGTTCTTGCTTTTTTTTTTAAGTCACGTTTGTTTTTGTATTCATTTTTTTCCTTTTGCTTTATCTTCCCTTCCTCTAACCTTAAGCAAGGTATAATTATATTTGAAAATGCATTATTTATCAATATTTATACTACTAATAAAAATATTTTAAGATGAAATTTTTTTTTAATCTCTATTTTATCTTTATAAAGGATTGCAAAAACCTCTATATCCTTTCACAATTAAATATTTAAATATCTATCAAATCTTTATCTCTTTAAATCTCCAAATTATATGTGACATATCTTTTAATTATCTATTCTCTATGTATAAATATAAATTTCTATAAAAAATTTTAATTGACTATATTATCCTTAAAAATATATACATCATTATATTTTTAATAAAGTGTTCAAAAAACATTCAAAAACTCTATCAATATAATATTATTTATATCATATGCAAAGATAACATTATATTTACATATGTGTATTTTTTTTTCATCGAAAAATTTAACCCTTTCATTTCTAAGATAAAAACTAATCTTATATATAATTTTTTTAAATCAATTTATATAACATCAGTATAATTCTTCAGTCATAATAAATCTTTTAGGTTGTACTAAGATTTTATGTAAAAATAGATATTGTAGTGTATTTTTCAGTAAAATTTGAATGTTTTAGTATTTTAATATGCTTAATCATATATATATATATATATATATATTATAGAATAGTATATTAAATTTTATCCCAATTGATCTAACTAATTTCTAATTACAATAAGATTCTATTGTGATTAGTATACTGACAATTACTTTAATTTTGTTCAAGGAATTATAAGTAGAATTTTAATCAAATGAATTTCAGAAAATTTAATTTCTCAAACATCATTAAAAAATCAATCTCAATCACAAAAGTCTAAAAAAATAGAACTTTAACTAACTTTTTTATCTTTTTTTTTTATAGTTAAAATGAAGAATTTTTGGAACATACATAGCTTTCATAATCGTATAATATAATGAGTAATGAAAAATTAAGTTTGGTAAATTTGAGATAATATTTAATTTAGATACACATATACCTAATATGTTTTATTAATTTTTGTGTACGAAAAATATTTACATATAACGCACGTGATGAATTGCCAGTATACTAAAATGAATCTAAATCACTTTTGTGAAACAATAATTATAAATGATTTTTACTTTTTTGACAAATTTACTTTGTTACTTAAAAATTACATTAAAAAGTATTACCAAACAAAGATTTGTATGTAAGAAATGTCAAGTCATATGTGATGCTAATCTACATATGTTTGTCCCACAACGGTTAGATTAGAAAATTTTATTGTTATCTTGTACTATAGATAAACTTCCTCATGTATAGAATAAATTATACCAAAGTAATATACAATTGATATTTGCTTTATATTATCTTCTTTCACATGCTATCAGAGTCTAGGTTCATGAATATTTTTAACCAAAGATAGTATGTTGAGTAGTTGCTTTGTGAGGGATCCTCCACATTAGAACTCTTGAAGCTCTTCGTTCAGTCATCATTCGATGACATTTCGATTGCCTCCTGGCCATTCTCTGGCGACCTTCTGATCTGCCCCCAACCATCCTCTGGTGACCTTTTGATCTGCCGCCTGGCCATCCCAGTGACTTTCTAGCCATCCTCTAGCGACATTTTGATCACCTTTGGTGACGTTTCGATTGCCTCCCGGTCCTCATCCTACGACATTCCGATCACCTCGACCATTCCCTAACGACGTTCCAATCACCTCTTGACCGTCTTTCGATGACATTCCAGTTATCCTTTGATCTCATTCCGGCCATCCTTTGATGTCTTCCAGTGACCTTCCAGTCGTCCACTTTCATCCAGAATCCACTACGGCATTATCTGATAGGCCTTAATCTCATTACTCATATTGTCACAAGATATCATACGCTACTCAACTGTATTATCCGAGTATGCAAGTTTTGACCAACTAGTAGTATAGATCTAGTAATCAGTCCAAGGATAAGTCTATGTATGTTTCTCACACTGCTACTTCTACTGCCAACGACTCCTATCCTCCAAAGTCTCCTTCTTCTCCCTTCAATGCTAGTGATCTTGCAGTTATCCTCAAACAAGTTATTTTTGTATCAGTTAATCCATCTTCTACTGTTTTGTCTGCCACTTCAAGTAAATCATCTTAGTTCTTTGACTTTGCATGTTGTAACCACATGACCCCTGATGAATCATTGTTTTCCTCCACACAATCTATAGGTTTTGTCCCACCCATTCACATTGCAGATGGCTCACATATGCATGTCAATCACGTTGTACATGTCTCTATATCCCATGTCACTATCTCATACTTATCACATACCTAATTTTACTTTTAATTTCATATATGTGGTTCAACTTTGTGACCTCAGACTCACTATTTTATTCTTTTATACTGGTTGTATTGTCCAAGATCCACGGACAAGATAGACCCTTAGGATAGGTCATAAACATGGATATTTGTTTGAGCTTATCCATCTTCGTCCTCCAAAAGGACTATTTTACTCAGTGCTCTCTAGTGTGTTTACTTCTGCTCTGAATAACTCTCATCTTTGGCATTCATGTCTAGGTCATGTTTCTTCAAGTCGTCTACAGTATTTAATTTACAGTGATCAGTTAGGGCAAGTTCACAGTGAACATCTTGATTGCTTATCTTGTAAACTTGCAAAGTAGCTATCCTTACCTTTCTCTTTGTCTTCTGTATCTTTTGATTTGATTTATTATGATATTTGGGAACCTTCTCCAACTGTTACTATAGGAGGGTAAAAATACTTTGTCATTTTTATTAATGATTATTCTCAATTCATTTGAATTTATCTTTTGCAAACTTGATCTCAGTGTCCAAACTCAATTCTCGTGATCTATTAAAGTCTTCAGATCTAATAATGTCATGGAATATAGAGACACCACATTCCTTAACTTTCTTAGTCAATATGACACCATTCTTCATCATTTTTGCCTTGGTACATATCAATAAAATGGACGTGTTGAACACAAACATCGTCATATTCTTGATACTATTTGTGCTCTTCTCATATCTTCTTAATGTCCTGGGTATTTTTGGGATGAAGCTTCTCTTACTATCGTTCATACAATCAATAATTTTCCCTCTCCTATTATTGGGAATCAATCTTCATATGAGTGATTGTATGACACTTCCCTAGATTACCACTTTATGCGAGTCTTTGGTTATACATGTTTTGTCTTACTCCAACCTCATGAGCGTACCAAGTTAGAACCTCGGGCATGTCTTTGTTGTTTCTTGGGTTATAGGATTGAACATAAGGGTTATCATTGTTGGGATCCATATTCCAAGCATCTTCATGTTTCTTGACATGTTGTCTTTTAAGAATATAAGATGTTATCCTCGTTATCTCAGTTTCAGCTTTTGTCTGCTTCTACTTCTTATCTCTTTATTGATCAATTTATGGATCTACATCTTGATGACCCACATCTAGACTCATTTGAGCTCCCATCCACAGACCATCAAAAGTCTTCTGCCCTGCATGCTGATCCTGCTCCTGCTTCTGCCCCACTTCATACTGATAGTGATCATGCCTCAACTTCTAAACCCTTTACACCATTTCCTGTTGATACTCACTCTCCTCCTCATAAGCAGAGTCATTACACTTGAGTAAGGAACATTCCTGTTTGTTTGCATGATTATCATTGTTTCTCCACTGTTCTATTCTCTCTAGGCATGAGCCTCACTCTTATTGTGTGGCTAGTTCTAATCCTCATTGGCAGTAAGAAATGATAGAAGAGTTATAGGCACTAGATGACACTCATACTTGGGATTGGTTGCTCTTCCTCTTAGCAAAATAGCTATTGGTTGTAAATGAGTTTATAAGATCAAGACTCACTCTGATGGTCCTATTTAGCATTACAAGGCTTGTCTAGTGGTGAAGGGTTTTGCATAAGAGTATGGTATTGATTATGAGGAGACTTTTGCTCATGTTGCTCATCTCACTTCAGTTTGAAGCCTACTAGGTGTTGACGTCACTCGTTGGTGGAAATTATATCAGATGGATGTCAAAAATTCATTTCTCAATAATGAACTTACTGAGGAAGTCTACATGCAGCCTCCTCTTGGGTATCCTCATTCACCACGTCAGGTTTGTCGACTCCGTCATACTCTCTATGGTCTCAAGTAAGCCCCTACAGCTTGGTTTTCGAAGTTTAGTGCTACTATTGGAAATTTTGGTTTCTTTTTCAACCCTTATTTTAGTTCGTAAGACTGAGCGTGACGCTACTCTACTTCTTTTCTATGTGGATGATATGATTATCACTTGGATGATGTTTCTAGAATTTTTTATTTCAAATATTTTCTCAACACACACTTTGAGATGAAGGATCTTGGTTCTCTCAGCTACTTCTTGGATCTTAAGATCTCGTTTGACTTCAATGGGTGTTAGCTCTCTTAGGCCAAGTATGCCTCTGATCTTCTTATTCGTGGACTTACTAATTGCAAGATTGTACCTATCCCATTAGACTTACTCATTTGGATGACACACTTCTCCCTGATGACACTCTTTATCGCTAGTTGGTTGGCAATCTTGTGTATCTCACTATTATTCAACTGGATATAACCTATGTTGTTCATCTTGTCAGCCTATTTTCAACTGCCCCTTGATCTGCTCATTATGTTGTTGTTCTTCGTATTTTACAATACATTAAGGGTACTATGTTTCGCAGTCTTCATTACTCTACTCACTTATCTCTTTAGCTACGTGCCTATTCTGATGCTAACTGGGTAGGATATCCTACTAATCATTGCTCCATCATTGGTTATTGTTTCTTTATGGGCGACTCTCTCATTCTTGGCGCAACAAGAAACAATCTATTATCTCTCAATCTAGTACAGAGGCAGAGTACCGCACTCTTGCTAACATTACCGAGGAGCTTCTTTGGCTTCGTTGACTCTTAGAAGATTTAGGTGTCTCTCATTCGAGTGCTACTTTTCTTTGTTGTGACAATCGGAGTGAGAATACAAATTGCTCACATTGATGTTTTCTATGATCACACTAAGCATATTGAAATTGATTTTCATTTTGTGCGACAACATGTGATTCGAGGCATAGTTCATCTTGTCTCTGCTTCTTCATCTGACTAGACTACTGACATCTTTACCAAGGCACATTTGTCGGGATGATTTCGTGATTTGGTTTCCATATTCAAGTTGATTTCTACTTTACCTCCTTGAGTTTGAGAGAAGATGTTAATGTATATATGTTTGTCCCACATTGGTTAGACTTTGAAACTTCACTACTCTCTTGTACTATAAATAAACATCCTTATGTGTAGAATAAATTATGCCAAAGTAATTCACAATTAATATTCTCTTTATATTCTCTTCTCTCACATGTGAAAAGCCAGTCGACTATCATCCTAACTTAAAATTTTTACAACTTATGTCAACTAGGTTTGGTTATTCGCATCTTGGAATCGTACCCTGATCTTGCTGACAAACATGACGAAAACGGTATGACTGCTTTGAATTTGTTGGCCACAATGCCAACTTCTTTCAAAAGCAAGTCATCATATGTGTTGAATGATCTGAACAGGACATCCTTCATTCCTTTGCAGATGCTTGAAGCTGTGGTCTACAAGTGTAAGCATTATGCCATTATATTGTAGTAGCATTGAAGATAAATTTTGTTTTATATATTTTTACCAGCGTATTCCCATTCCTTTTGAGGATATAACTGAAAATATAAATTGATAGATTTTTCTTGTAAACAAATCAAATGACAAAGAACTAAATTGGCATAAGACTTCAGGTTTTCAATTTTGGTTTTTTTTTTCCCTTATGAAGTTAATAACTTTTTCATATAAAGTTACATCGAGTCTAGGAATTGACCAACAAAAAATGAGGGTAAAGCTACCATTTAGCTCTTTCAAACCCACTATATGCGGGATATTTGTAAACTGGATATGGATATGGCATTTTATATGAAGTTTTCACACATCGGATCTTCAAAATGAAAATTGAATCCTTCATTTTACTACTGGAACTCAAGATAAATATAAGGTTTGGCATCCTGTTACATTTTACTAGTTGTTTTACTCTTTAGTATGGCATATTAGTTTACATAAAAAAACATTATGCTAACTGCCATACATATTAGTTTACATAAAAAGTCATTATGCTAACAGATTTTGAGGGCAGTCACCCTGTGCAAACAATGCAAAAAAATAGGTTTGTACCCATCCCTCCAGGAGCCCATCAGTGGGGATTAAATTGAGTCTTATTTTTTTTTCACAATAGAATTATGATTTTGGTTTTTAATTTTTGTGAAACAAAAGGAAAATTAAGTTAACATTTGGTAACACTTCTTTTAAATATTATTGTTGTATTTTTTTGCTTTTTAAAATTTTTTGTTTGGGTAAATTGTTTTTTTTATCTACTAAGATTCATAAATCACTTTTACAAAATACTAGTCAAACTTGTATTTTTTTGCTTGACCAAATTATTTATTTTTTAGCAAAAGCACTTAAAAAATTACGGAATGAATTCTACTTCGCTAAGTTTATCTGTTAGAGTAGGTAGATAGAAAAACCTATTTGTTATAAAACATTTATAGAATGGTCTACTTGATTAGAAATTATTAAGTTTTGCAGTGAAGGAAAATTTAGTGATTTCTTTCATGTGTGGTTGAGCAGTTATAAAAACAAGGATTGACGAGAGAGTTTCGGAGTCACAAGTGGCTGGTAATGTTGAGGATCCACCAGCTGATAACAAAGTTGGTATCTCAATGTTAGAAATGCCATCTTTCATCAGAGTTATCATAGGTGTGGTACCTCTTCTTATTCTTATTTTTCTTCTTGTTGTCTTTATTATCAATTGAAAATTTTACATTATTGGTTGTTGTTTAAAGAATCTGAATCTCTTAGAGAACAGAAGTCAAATGTTGGTGTCTTTTATGATAAAACGCATAGAGAACGCTATTCACCCTCTCCTTTTCAACTATAGTATCTCAAGTGTTTTGCCCCCAAGGATTTTAGAATTTTTATTGTATTTTCTCAAAGATAAAATATCTCGCATTAACTCTTTAATTTCTCAAAAGTGAAGTAATGTGCCACTGGTGGTATTTGTTTTTCCCATTTCTTAATATATTAAAAGTGCAACTTTGCCTCACAAATAGTTAATTATGTAAAATCAAATGTATGACACGTGATATTTCAACGTACGAAAATGAGACATTATTTACAAATTGAGACATTTTTTTTAGTGTTTAAGAAATTCAAGTCCAATATGAGACTTTTAATCTTTTGGGGTAGAGTCAAAATTTAAAGATTTTTGAAGATTGTCACTCTCCCTAGAGTATTTACATTAGTTTTCTTCATGAGCAATGTTGTTGGAACATAATTTAAAGACTTAATGATTATGGTCAGTAGATTGTCAATAGTATTAGTGGGTCTCAATACTATCAATTCAATGGTCATAATGTATTAAGTCTCCAAATTATGTCATAACACCATTAGTGTTTCTCTTTCTATAACTCTACTACTACAACTGTCCATCTTCTATCAGGTCACTGGTTTTTTGGAAAAATTTATGATGCAAAGGAAAAGCATGAAGTTGTGCTAAAGCTGGCACATAAATTGATAGACAAAGAAGATTGGAGTCATTACATTAAGTACGAAAGTATAGATACCGAAGTCAGCTCATTTGGGATTTCTTCAAGGAAGAAGAATAAGGTACCCGACCCGCTCATACAAGCAACAACATTTGGCATTTTTGAGTTGGTAATAGCGATCCTCCAAAAATATCCCCAGGCTGCAGACTCCTTCGACGAGAATGGAAGGAATATATTGCATATATCGGTGGAGCAGAAACATAGATTTCTTTATGAATACTTGATGAATTCTTTAGCTTACAAAGATAGGATGTTGGCAGATATTGATAACCGAGGGAACACCATCTTGCACCTCGCATCGTGTGTCCAAAATCCTGCTACTTCTCAGCGTAGAATCATAGACGTTGCTAATCAATGGAGAGTCAATTATCATGTCGGAACGAAGCAGGGAAGTATCCCATTGATAAACCAGATGAGTAGGGATGTGCTTTGGTTCAAGGTACGTTAGTGTTAAAGCAATTCTCAAAATATCTTTTTTTTTTTATTTTTTTTTTTATTTTTATTTTTTTCAAAATATGTTTTAAAGTGTGTTATATGTCAGTTGTGAACTGTGAAGCCCAATATTTGATGGTATCGATTTTTCATCTAACAACTACAATAAATTAGACCTGTACAAATAACATTTTGCATTAATAACTAATTTGAGGCCTCCCTAATCCTTTTTCCACAGCAAGTAAAGCATGACACTTATCCACACTTGACGCATGTTCGAAACATGGATGGAATGACAGCAGAGGAACTATTTGAAGAAAATTACTCATCTGTTCGAGAAGAAGCACAGAAAGCAGCAAAGGAGGTGAGTGGTAACTTCATAATCGTCTCCATCCTCATCGCAACACTTAACTTCGCGGCACTTTTCACCGTCCCCGGTGGCTTCGATCAGAATACCGGGGACCCCATGCTCCTCTCTAGTCATCGACAGGAAATGCAGTTCTTCATGATTTACGTATGGTTATCTGTGGTATCCGCCTTGTTCTCCTTGGCAAACCTCCTGCTAATCCAAGTATCGCGGTTCAACACCAATGATTTTCTCATTGCAGTTCCAACAAAATTCATATTATCCTCCCTCGCCATTATGTACTCCACGGGCTTGTCCGTCACCGCATTTTACCAAGGCTATATACTTGAGGGCCACCCAGGAACCTCCGTAGCCACCTTTATGATGTTGTGCTTGTTCGTTGGGTGGTATGTGTTGGCCCTCGTAATGGTAGACACCACCGTCTCAATTTTCGATTACATGTACTATGCACTTTTCCATTTGGTTGCTTATAAAAGTCCGGACATATAGAATTTGATTATTGAGATTTGTATTGTATAATATAATATTTGTATTCAAGAGAATTACAACAAATGAATTAAGAGTTTTGTTAGAATATATATTACAAAACAATTTACATGAGAAACAGTGCCTTAATTGCTAAATTAACGTTAGTTTTTAGTTCAATTACCAACTTAATGTTGTTTTGAAAAACAATTCCCACTGTGTTTTTTGAGATGTTACATGTTAAATGTGGATTTAAATCATCTATATTATTTTTTTACACAATTTTACTCAAGGGTTAATTGCAAATTGCACTCAGAAAGATCTCTCGAATTTTAATTTGTATCCTCAAAGATAAAAATTTTAATTTACACATTCAAAGATATAAATTTGTATCAATGTGTACACTTAAAACTAACAATTGTCAGTGTGCCTTTTAAAACTAGTTGGGTAAGTTTAGGGATGACAATGGTCGGGAAGAAACGGGTATTCGTCAAAATCCATCCCGTTTAGATTGAGAATGAACTATACGTATTGGACGATAGACATATACAGAGATATCCGTATATATATATATATATATACTCCCAAGCCCTAACCCTAACTTACTCTCCTGAGTCCCGCCTCCATCCAGCGCTTTGTTTCTCTCTCTTTCCATCGTCTCTCCCTCCAAACGCCAAACTCTCTCTTTCTCTCTCTCTCCATGCATATATTCATCTTCTTCTTTTTTCTATTGTCCACCCCCTTCTTGTTCATTGTCGGCACTCCTTAAGCCCTACCTATATCTTTTTGGTTAAGTTATCAACCTCAAAGGTAATATTTATCTTTGGAATATGTTTCAGATTCGATATCTGTTTTATCAAATCCTTTTTTTTTATTACAAATCTATGTTCAGTTTGCTGTCTAACTTCCCCCTGAATTTCTCAGTATCGTCGCTCGATAATATGGTGATTGAATTTTGATTAATTTTGCTTTTGATAAGTATACCTGTGGATCTCATAATTCTCACTTGTTCGGTTACTTTTTGTTTATTGCTTTATGTATCCTTCTGATTAGGCTTTAATTCAGTTTGTTTTTGCATCGACTCCACGCGTGGTTGCTGTGAATCCGAAGGAAAAGAAGGAAGAAAGCTGAAACCTAACACTCTTTCTTGCTCCGTAACCTTGAGAAGGCTTAAGGTAATACAATCGATTGGTCGATAGTAATTGAATTGTTTTGTTTCCTAATAATTATAGCTGGAAAAAAAATACTTGGTTTTCTTGGTTTTATCGTACACGGAACTGTGGAATTTGATCGTTTGTAAGCAGAAAGACAAATCTATTATGTCTTGATCCTTGCTAAAGTTAAATTTTCAGCTTGATTCTTATCTCTTAGCTGTCCTGTAGTATACTCAGAACTTCAATGGGTTTGATTCTTTTTGCTACATACCGCTGCTATGAGTAGAAAGTAGAGGATTCTTGATACTAGGTTTTAAATATTAAGAATTCTTGTTGTTCATTATATATAATTGAATTGCACCGTTGAAATTAGTCATTTGATAGTAGTGGTAGTATTTGCACTTTCAAGTGGATTACAATTTACATATGTCTTGCTTTGGATACATTANTAAAATTCAAATAATGTACTTAGATACAAATAAGTATTAAAATTAAGGATTTAATTACCCAACAATTTTTTCTGTGTGCCTTTTTACAATTAAATCTAATTTGGTGTACCCCTTTCCAATTTTCACTTATTTGTATGTGCATCATAATTTTTTTTGGCGGGGTAAAGTATGACTAATGCATTATTTTTTTTTTGTTTGGTTCGTCTACTTCGACGGGCCTGAAGAGCTACACATTATTGGAGTATTTTGATATTGATGATAAGGTATATCATTTTAGTTGAAAATTTTTCTTTGGAAGAATCTATTTTTTTTTTCTTTTAATGATATAGGAANAGAATCTATTTTTTTTTTCTTTTAATGATATTGAAGTAGATTCTACCACCATTGATGGTGTTAAGAGATGATTGAGTTGGAAAATTTTTCAATTTCAACCAATCAATTTTATTAGTAAATACAAAATATTTTTTATGCAATTATTTTAGTTTTTTATGTTTTATTTTTTTTACTAAATTACAGGTGTGATGTTACATAGCAGAAAATTTTTTCCATTCCATGGTTTGTGTTATATTGAATTATATCAAATTCAAATAGTATTTTGAACATTTGTTGTTTGTGTTATGTTGGAATATGTTATGCTATATTATGTTGTATTAGATTATGTTAGATTATTTAGAATGTTGTTGGATTATTTAAAATGTTGAATTTATTTAAAATTTTGAATTATGCTACTTGGGCTTGGGCTTGGGCTTGAGCAGGTACAAAAGAATCGGGGACGGGGGCGGGGATTAGAAATTTTCTCGCGAATGGGGATGAGAATGAAAACTATACACGTTAACGGGGGGTAGATCAAGGATGTACGAAGTTTTTTTAAGCGGGTATAAAGATGGAGACTACACCCCTTGCCCCCGTTTCGTTCCACTGACATCCCTAGGCAAATTATACCTAAACCCCTTCAAGTCTGTCACTTATTCATTTGGACTCCCTCACATTTAGAATATTACTCTTACACCTCCTGACATTTGTGCACGTATAACACATAATTTTGTAGGCTTGTTATACTCTAAAGTTCAAAATTAAGCTTACCATTTGAATGTCCAATATAATACAGGTATTTATATAATATTCTTCATATCCAATGCAATACATGAATTGAACATAACTATATGGATGCTCAATTGGGAGCACATTTTTAGTCATATTTGGATTCTTAGGGAATATATGTGTAATATTTTAAATATGAAGGGTCTAGGTGATTAAGTGACAAATATGAGAGAGTCTAGGTGTAATTTATTAGTTTTAGACTACAAAACTAACGGTTGGTAGTTTCATGTACGCATTGATACAGATTTATATCTTTTACGATGCAAATTAAGAATTTTTATCTTTGAAGGTGCAAATTGAGATTTGAACGATTTTTTGAAGTATAATTTGCGATTAATCTTTTACCCAATAGTAGATCACTCATCATGTATAGGTGAGGTGTCCACATAAATAATAGATATCACGTGAATTCATAGTGGATGCTCTACTATTAAATAAAATTGTGTAGAAAAGTATTATAGAGGATCTCAATCCGTTAGACGTCACGTGGGCAAATGTGTTTGGAGAGTTTTGGAAAGTAATATGTTTGGAAAGTTGACCTCAATTAATAGATGGCTTTCTTTTCATTAGGGGGCTTATAATCGAGTTATGTGATTTTTTGAATTTTGTTACTTTGTTTTTGTGTTGAGTATTATTCAATCTTAATTTTACTCACTTCATTAATTGCGTTGGATGTATAGATACTAACATGATCTATTTATTATGTCTTGTTTGAGTTAATTTGCAAAGTATATGAACCAAAAAAATCAATGCTAGAACTTCTTTTATCTAAAGGGCGTACTCAGTGAACGAGTCTTCCGTCATTGCGGGGTCTGAAGAGGGTTAGATGTATATAGTCTTACATTTGCAAGCAGAAAAGTTGTTTTCACAGCTCGAACTGTGACCTCGAAGTCACAATGAATAACTTTACAGTTGCACCAACATCCATCCTCATAACTTCTTCTATCCCAACCAAACCAATTACTATTGGTCTTCCATAAACTAAAATTCATATGCTACCAAAATCAGAAAAATAATCCTCTAATTCAAAGAAAATACCATTTCAACTCAAGAAATGAAAAAAAATAAAAAATATATATATTACATTTTCTTCATACAATACTAAATAAATGAGTTTTGTGTCAAAATAATATTATTTATATTTATCACTATGAAACACTTTTATTATTCATGTTAACATAATCAAACTTAATTGGATAATTCTATATCATGTTTATGTCCTATTACACATCATGTCAAAATGACCATCTTACTCGTGAGTTATGTTAGGAATATATTGAAATGGAGATTACGATAATTTAAAAAGATCTAGGTAGTAAACGGTAATACAAATGTGATGGAAATTGGGTTGCTCACCTGTTATAGCACTTCAGCCTAAGCGTGGTCTTTCTACAAATAGCAAGTGTTCTTTATCAAAGACCCAAAATGTATTTCTTTATCCAAAGCTTTGGCCTCAATGATCCTATTTCCTTGGTCTCAGAAGGGATTTACTATCAGTTGAAGAGTTCTCTATCTTAGCACAATACAGAATAGTATCCCTTTTGTTCCAGATAGAATAAGGAGGGTCACGGGGAACCGAGAGGTTCTGAGATGAGTAAATTACTGTGTTCATACTAAATCAGGAGAGTGTTTTAGAACATCACATATGATATCAATTTTTTTCCACTTTTTTTTTTTTTTGGGATGGGTGGATTTGGAGCTCTGGCTTTTATGTGACCCCCACTCTCGCTGCCGCTTTATGTCATCTAGGGCAAACTACAAAGCCAAAGTGTGGTGTGCTTTTCAATTCATCAATAAACATGAAAACAATGCATCACCGATAGAATTACTTCTATAATACTAGTTTTTTTTTTTTTTGAATAGTCTTCTACAATACTTTTTTTTTTTTTGAACAGTCTTCTACAATACTATTAGATTGGCAATTTTAGGAGTATTACTATTTCGGCCAAAAACTCAAAAAGAAATTATTTATCCAGGATGACGTTGCGAAATTTATAATTCACTAAATTATTTTCTTGCGATATGGATAGGGGATTCTTTTGTTCCTGACACTTACCATAAATAAAATACAAAATGTCGGAGTATATACAGTTTCCAACTCTTTATATAGAATGTGTCGCAGAAGATTCACTTTACTATATATTTTTTGTTTTTTCTTTGGCACTCAAACCTTTCCTTTGTTGTTCATTAATCCTAATGGACTTTATGCTTTTTTTCTCACTAAGGAAAGGAAATGATGTATAGTCATTTTTAGGGGTGTTAATTGAAACAAGTTACTTAGGTTTGGCTGGTTCTGATAGGATTAGGCTTGAGCTCAACT